TATGTTACCAAATAATAAAGTTGGATTGTGAGATATGTGAATAATTCGATTATTGCTTCTAAATATAATTTTATTCAAATATTATATATTTACATTATTGTTCCAATATGTTCGAAATATAGGCAAATCAATTTTTGTGGAATGCATCCAATGAGAAGGCATATCTATTTATTGTTGTGAACAAATTTGACGAGATTAAAAACAAAGAAAAATGTAGACGCATGATCCTGGAACAAATTAAACAAATCTCACCACGCACCTTTGAATATCATGATGATCTTGTGCACTTTGTCAGTGCTAATGCTATAAATGTGGACGGGAATCCACCACACACAAATCGTATCCCTGAAGTTGATCATCTTGAAGAGAGTTTGCGTACTTTTGTTCTAAAGAAACGATCCAAGTCTAAATTGGCACCAGCAAGGCATTATTTACATAATCTCCTATATGACATTGGGGTGCTCGCTGAATTTAATCGCGAACTTGCTGCTATAGAATATGATCAACTTACACGTGAATTGGAAGAGGGTGAACCTGCTTTCCGAAAATTGCAACGGGATGGCAGCCGTGTCGTGGAGGAAGCAGAACGACTCTGTGAATCTACATGCCAGTCAATCCGTAAAACAATTAAAGATCAACTTTCTAGCGTGATTGATGATATACACAAAGTAGATGAAAATTGTGAATATCATGGTCTTTTGTATATGTGGAATTATGCAATGGAACTTCGTGACGGCATGTTACAAAAAATTCAAAATGAACTTAGTAAATGTGAATTAATCGCAAAACAAGAAGTATCTACTTGTATCGAAAAGATTCAAGAAATGCCCGTACAAAACCTTGTCATCGACCCGATCGATGCTAAGCTTGATAAATATTTCACCAATCGAAATAACAACCCGATTCAAATTCATATTGACCCAAGCGATTTCTTCGACTTGAATCTAGGTCTTGACTTAAACCATCGAATGAATGAACACGTTGGAATGCTTGGCATCTCTAGCGGTGCTCTTGTCATGGTGAAGTTTTATACTCGATTATGCTTATGCTACTAATTATCTTAATTTATTATATGAATTATCACAAACTAATTTCATTTCATAGTTTGGGGGCAAATTCTTAGGATACAATGTCATGTCCAATTTATTTAAAATCTCCAATGTCGTTGGTTTCAATAATATGCGCAAATTAGCTCTTCCTCTTATTGGCTTAGCTGGTAAATCTTGGTTCAACTCAACATCATGTATTAGTCAACATTATAAATTCAAAACATAATTTTCTAGGTTTCGGTTTCCTCGTTTATATCGTGAGCGATGCACGTCACGCTATCTCACGCAATGTTGCTCGTAAGGTTCGTAGTCAGCTTACGCAATCCAATTATGCTGAATGTCAGGCACACCGTATTTCCTATCACGGACGCAAAGCCACTCGTCGTTTAATCAATCATTTACGAGATTGCTTCCGACGAGCTATTGATGCCGAAGAGCAAAAAAGAAAAGAACAGCGTGAAAAAGCGAAGGTTTCTGATGAAGCCAAATTTTACTTTAGTGGGGTGTTTTCAAAAGCCGAAGAGATGTCTAAAGTTTTGGAGGTATTGGATATTGACGTCGTGGAAGATGAAATATTGGCGGTAAATTAAGTGTATAGATATACAGCCCAAACTGGTTATAAGGAATCAATAGTCCGGTACCTTCGTTATACCCAGTTTTGACCGTATACGCTAAATAAAGCTTCACTCAATTATTGAGTTTACTCGATTACGGCGATAATGGACCTCCAAATTCAAAGACATTTGTTTCTTCTTATTATATGCCTATCTCTAAGGTAACAACATCCTCAAATAACGTTTAATTATCTTTCAACTATGAAGAAAGCCAGAGTTCAATTTTTTGGTTTTTGATACGTTCTATCGATTTTCTATGCTTTTTCATTCACTTCAACTTTGCACTTAACACTTTTATATTAATCAAAATTATTAGTCTAATTTTTAATATTTCTAGGATATTTATATTTTATTAATTAATTACGAAATGTCTTTGAAGAAGGGTAAAGGATAATTTTAGTTCACATATATGCGCAT